AAAAAAAAAAAACAGCGTGCTCAATGTTTTTATAATGGTAGGACGTTGCACCTATCTGGCGGTGTAAAGGAAACTCTGCCTCTAATGCCCGATAATGCCCAAATGTCAGCAAAAGGCACTTCAATGGCAACCGATGGCAACTAATTTTGAAACCGCAAAGTCTCCAAATTTGAGATAGTACTCCGCCCGCTCCTTTTCAGTTTACAATTCTCTTTCCTGTTTCGTGTTGTGTCCCTCCGACGGGCGCGCAGCAAGCACGTAGTGCTCTCTGCTCTTCCCGCGGGTCAACGCTCCAGGACTCTCCCGGAGTCCCGCTGGAGTGGCGAGCACCAGCGCTCCCCGCCGCCTCCCCCGCTGGAGCCCGTGAGTCACCCCGCCATCACGGCCCACCGCGCGGAAGTACACTGCCCGCGAGGGTCCTCCGGCCGGCAGGTCAAGTGCGAAACACCAAGTCTTGCGGACTTACAAAGTGTTTGACTCTCGTTGAACGATTGCAAGTATTCAACTTCGCAGATATACAACTTTACAAGTGTTGAACACTTTGCAGACTTCGTTTGCGTGGTGGTGGTGGTGGTCTCACTCACAGCAATGGGGATTAAACTCACCAAAGAGAGTTTTTCTTTGTCAACGCGTTTTGTTTCCCTTTTTCCCCTACGCGCACTTCTCTCTCTCTCTCTCTCTCTCTCTCTCTCTCTCTCTCTCTCTCTCTCTCTCAGGTGACGGTGGCGCCGCCCGCGGCCGCGGCTAAAGCAAACGCGAGTTTCATGGCGGCCCACCCCGCCCCGCCCCGCCAGGGGCCAGCGGCCACCATTGTGCCGACGTCAATTACCACAATCAGGCATGTCGTAACAATTGTCGCATTACGATTGTTGGGCAGCGTGGCGTTGCGCGTGCAAGAGGAGGTTGGTGGGAGTAGGAGTGGAGAGGGGGAGGGGAGTCGTCTAAAATGGGGTATCGTGGGCGCCTTGATCGCAACAACGCACCCCGCGGAAGCGCCGGCGCGCCGCGTGGCACAGCGCGGTGCGCCGCGAGAGGTGAACGGACGGTCCTTACCGGCTGCAGCAGGGCAGGTGCCCAGCAGCTGCCACCACATGGAGCCCACTGTGCTCTTTTTGCCCCCCCTCCCCCTGCTGCTCCTCTCAAAAGTTTTCAGACTTGATACAATTTACAACAAAACTGTATACACTGTAAACGTCGCGGCCGCGTTGCTTGCCAAAATTTTGGCTTTCTTCTATAGAGATTGTCAAATGGTTGGGCCGCGTAGGATGTCAAATATTGACAATGAGAAAAGAAATGCCCAAATTATAGCAAGCAAAGCGGCGATGGCGTTCACGGTGAAAACATCGTAATTTGGTCAGCAGGGAGCAGGCATTTCCCAGTTGAAGCTCACCAGAGACGCGCACAGTAACACGGCGCGCGGTGTCATCCTGGGGGCGTCACCGCACCGGGCCCTCTTCTGTACAGGAAGGAGGGGGAGGAAAGGGCTCACCTTTTCCCCATTTTTTTCGTGTTTTTTTTTTTTCATGTAATTCGTTCCTCCTTTTTAATCCCCTTCTCACCCCTCCCCTCACCCGCGGCGGCAGGTAGTCACGCGACATAGCGCAACTCATGCCGCAGCCACACTCCCATTTTCATTATTTTCACCTCTCTCTCTCTCCCTCTCTCTCTGTTCTGGGGAAGCGTAGAGGGACGGTGCGAGCTGGCCGCGCCGCGCCACCTCTTGCGCGCAGCGTTGCCGATTCGCGCCCCGACGCGGCGATAAAAATGGCCCTAAACGTGTTAAACTAAAGCCGACGTTTTCCATTGTCGGCCAAGGGAAGAAAAACGCACAATATAAAGCTCGCTTCCCCCCAGGAAAAAAAGAAATGGGACGCACGGAGGAAGAAGGAAGAGTAAAAGAGAAGTATTTCAGCCGCAGCTTGAATGGGCTGCGCGCTGCGCCTGCCAGGAGTTCGGAGAGGAAGGGTACACTACCTGAGCCGCGGCCCTTCAGAGCGCATGTGTGACATGTTGGTAAACGGCTGGCTGTTTAAATCGACACCTATGAATCTACCCACAAAACATAGGAGAGCCATGAAAATTCGCCGTTGTTGAACCCCTTTCCAGCATACGCTCAAGCTAGGTCACTCGCTTTTAAAAAATGAAAGCTTGTTTCCGGTCAAAAATTTTGAAGAAATTCAAAACGTGATAAAGTTCATTCTGATTATAAGCATTTAGCTCAATCTTTTAAAAAGGAGACATTTTTATTTATTCTTTTTAAATCTCTCTAAAGGAGAACTTTTGGAAAATAAATTGAAACGAAAGCCTGATATGCACCAACCATTGGATCCAAAGCCCCAAAAATTGCTCGAAGTGTTTGAGAACAATCATCATTGTTCAAAAAGATCAGTGTTCTTCCACGTCAACTATGTTCGCGTGGTGGCACCTCTTGATGGGTGGTTGGTGATGTCTGGGTGATTAATTTTTTTTGCGCTTAAAATACGTTTAAATTTTATTTTTCCACCATATAAAATTAACTTTCGCGGTGGAAAAGACCACAGGACCGGCCAAGGCGGAGCTAAATTTAGATCAAAATGCGTTTCAAACGTACTTCACGTGATTTGATGTGAGGGGGTGTGTGGTTGCTCTAGTATTCTCATTCTCTAAAGCAGCAACAATCCAGATCAAGATCAAAAGATTTCAGTTGATGTAGAAAATCAAGTCAAAAGGAAAAGAAGCAGGAGTTTCCCGACTCGGCCGGGTAGCGGGCCCCCGTCCGCCCGGCCCGTTGCGCTCGGGAGAGCTGCGGGCGGCCTACCGGCCCCGGCTGACACCGCCAGAGACTCACCGTCAGCAGCAGCGGCGCCCCCGCCCCGCTGCCCATGCCGTCGTGTCGCGAGAGCAGAGCAGGCGTGCGCTCTGGTGAAGGACAAGAAAGGCGAGACAAGAGTTAGAGCTCAGAGATAAGAAGAGACTACAAGTGTGAGGGTTCATTGACAAATTTAAATTAGCGGCATGAAGTTTTCAAGCAACTCTCCGAAAGAAAAATAATCGGCAAAAGCCACTACATGTGTCATAACTGGAGGTGTGTGTTCCCGTTGTTCCGTGAAAAGGGTTCGCAGCAGAAGCGGCAAACGAATCAGTAACCATTGCCAAACAAAGAGGGGGAGGGGCGGGATCAAGGCTAAAATGTCACATTTTTCACCAAACTTTATTTTTACTTTTCAAAAACGTCTTCTTTTTTTAAGTTAGCATTACAAGCATATTAGTTCCAAAAGTTCGACAAGAACCTTAAAATACAAATACATTTGTCCGTCTACAACACTGAGCGCTGATTCTTTTGAAGTGAAGGTGCTCCGCATTGCTTTCGTTTCTTTTCCAGGGTACATATAGATGGGCAGGTGAGTAACCTCGGCGCAGGCAGCAGCAGACAGACCAACGTACCGCTCCACTCGGGGGAAGGGGAAAAGAGGGGGGAGGGCACAGAGATGGGCACTGACAGACAGCGAGAGGAAACGTTGCAGGTCCTTGCAGGGACTTCCAGGAGGTCCTCCAGGAGACCGTCGGGCGGGGAGAAGGGAGAGAAGCTGAGGTGGGTTGTTGTGTGTGTGTGAGAGAGAGATAGAGGAGGGTGAATGCCTCCTCCAATAGTCGCGGAGCAGCGGCGGGGCGTCGTGGCCAGAGCGGAATAGCAGAGCCAGGAGGGACTCGCCGCGAAGGAGAAACTCGCCGAGAGGAGGGACTAGCCGCAAGGGAACTTGCAGCGGAGGGACACGTCGAAAGGAGTGACTCGCAGTGGAGGGACTCGCCACAAGGGAACTTGCAGCGGAGATACTCGCTGAGAGGAGGGACTCGCCGAGAGGAGGGACTCGCCGAGAGGAGGGACTCGCCGAGAGGAGGAACTCGCCGCAGAGGAACTCGCAGCGAGCAGCGGCTCTGAGAGCGGCCACTTCCTTCTTTGGGCTCGCGACAGACAGTACGGCCGGGTGGCCGCGGGGTCAGCGGCGCCATGCTTGTGCTCTCCAATACCGCAACAGCAACATCTCTACCTTTCAGCGGGGATCTTTGAATGGCGCCTAGCCTATCGGCCCCCGAGAGGACACGCCGACGTTTACGTACTAACAATTTAGAACATGTACTGATTTTAATAAATGAAGAATTGGGGACCGATTTTAGTTTAAACCTGATTAATTTAATATTCGGTACAAAAGAAAAATTGCATCTAAATGCAAGTAAAGGGAATGTCATGTGTCAAGAGCCCTAAAACTATGGGTGGCGCCCAGTTGGGCGCAAGGTACACACGTGACACACACCAAGCGTCCTTGTCTGCGCCCCCCATCCCCACGCACACATGACCCAGACCCACACAACTGCTCCAGTGTGTGTGCGAGTGTGAGTGTGTGTGGGGACCGGCCCGGGTCCCCCCCCCCCCGACGCAAAAAGATTTGTTTGCTTTTCGCCGAGGTTCGTCAGGCTCCTGGGCGACGTATCGCCAAGATTCGCCGGAGGTTCGCGCCGGAGCGACCTTTGTCCGTCATCGAGTCGCTCCATGCGCGGACGAGCGACCTGAGTATGTTTTCAAGTCGCTCCGAGACGAACAGAGCGACTCCAGTACGCTTTCGGTTCACCTGGAGAGCCCCGGGTAGTCGGGGTATTTTCCTTTCCAGGAAACCCCGGCCGAGGGCTAGCGCTAATCCCTAGACCGGCGCACTTGAGAGCAGAAGAGGGGACGATGGGGCGGCCCCGGAACCCCCAGAGCCCGACGGCTCCTCTCCTCTGGACTGCACACTGCACACTTTGGCAGCTGGACACAACGACCACGTCAGTCTACATACGAGTTGAAGTCGCAGAGAGAACCCACTCGTAGAGAGAGGACGCATACCTCCGTACAACTATGCACATACGTTATATACGCACAATTTTAAGCGATATTATGCATAATTACGTACAATGTTGTACATAGTTAGGTACAAATTGTGTACGTAGGTTATGTATGTTGACAGTTGTACGTACCTACGCACAAAACAGTACATTGTCAGTCTGTGCCCGCCGCAAAATAATATAGCTTTGTGCTTTCTGCTCGCGTCGCGAAGAGGGGGACTTCAGTACGCTTTCAGGTCGCTCGCGGTTCGTCGGTAATAATCTTCTGGCCCGTAGAGCCCCGAGGCTGGTCGAGGAGGGACCCCGGTATCGGACACGGTCCCCTTACCGGCGAACTCGTGGTCTAGTGGTCAAGGCCACGGGTTCCAAACTCGGATGACCGAGGTTCGAGTCCCAGCAAAGGTAAAGTACTTTCCAATTAAATGTCATTAAATACAATAACTACGGTGAAGTAGAGGAAGAGGGTGGGGGCCAGGGAAAGGTAACAATCGATAAAAAACCATCACAAAGAAAATATTTTCCTTTTTGGCTATCGGAATACCGCTGCCTACCCGCCCC